TGCCCCGTACACCATGGCAGACCGCTTTCTGTTTTATAATAATAATTAATGTCTAAGGTATACTTACTTGAAAATCGCAAACACAAGTGCGTATTGGCTAGGCTAATGAGTATCAACAATCAACAACTGTTATACGCGAGTATAGTCACTATAAAAGTATAAAACAAAATTCAAAACGGCAAACGCAAAGTGCAAAACACGTGGAAAAACATTATAAGACATAAGTTATAACATATACCACTCGACGGCGACACCGGTGACGATGTCGGCCAATCACAGAACGCGATCGTCTAGGATGACGGTTAGGCAGCGCCGTAGCGGTGTTATCGGCGTGCGGCGGCTGTCTTCGTGCGCCAAACTGCCAAAGCAGTGAATGCAGTATACGAAAGCATAGACATGATTTTATATTATTATGTTGCCGACAAAATAATACCAAAATAAAATGTTTTCGTTATCACTGCATCAGTAATGCGTTGATTAACGCGTTAACCGTAGGCTACGACTATATTTTACAGTATGCAATATTGCTATTCCGCCCCCCCCTCGACAAAAGCGACAAGCCTAGCCAAAGCCTTTAGCTGGCTGGCTCTCCGTCACCCGCCCACCCGTTCGTTTCCAGACCATTCTATCTTAGTATCTTGGTCCTTTTAGTCCGGATTTACCGTGATCGAGAAATGACAAAAATTGAACAATAATAATAATTATAATGCGCGACACGACAACTGGTGAGCCAAACCCCACCAGTTAGACATGGGTTTTATAATAATTATTAATAATACGCATTTATATTTTAAACGATCACAACACTCGCTACGGAGACATTGTACATATATTTTTTGAATAATTGGTTTTATTTTTGTATATTTTTAGTGTGTGTATTTATTTTTCCACGAAATAAAAATATCTCCGAACGTCCATAACAATATTTAACATTTAACATTTAACTTTCCGATGTATACAGCGCGTTCCTTCAATATACATAGTGATTGAAAAATATAAAATTATTTTTTTTCTTCAAATTAATGAACTTATTTTTAACTATAGTTTTATTTACGTTTATTTATTCTGGTGGTGGTAATTCTTGTTGGTGAACGAACTAGTGTGTACTGTGTATGTCGTATGACAGTATACTTGTAGTTCGTAAAATATTTAGTTATTGTCATATTATATAACTATATAAGTAATAATAACGATTTCACTGTCGACTGGACGACGTATTTTCGGCGAGGCGACATGGGCTACGTGCCAATTATTCTATATAGTGTTCTTATAGTGTTAAGTGTCCGCACAAATGCACTGAAAACCGCCAAACCTTTTCGATGGCCAATGAAAATAGTGTTGCTAATGCTAACCGTATTCTTCTAATATCTATTGATACACATAATATAGGTTATAATAGGCTACCTATAATATGTGTCACATATTATAGGTAGCCTATATAGTGGTTCATTACAAATAAGTTTAAAATGGAGTGGAGGGTGGAGTGATATAGCTCGGTAGTCGGTACAGTTGACTTGCCGTGTGATTCGTGTTGAGCGGGGTGGCGCGGCAAAGTGTTTGTGCTCAGCGCGCGGCGTGTCTCTTCCCAACAATTTGTCGGTCTTTGTATCCCGCGCCAAAGGAAAATTGGTGCGGCTCGTATCATCCAATCTAACAACCCGGCGGTTTTACTGTGCGCGGTTTATATCACGCTCCACACTCCACGTGCCGTGTGATCCCACCTTAACAACAATATTTGAAAATAAAAGTAACCAAAACTTTTTGGGAATGTATGACGAAAAACATTATTTGAATTTATGCATACAATATTACTTTAATATGCCTGTACAATTTTCACTGTAATATTAAAAATAAAACACAATTATAAAACTAAACTAATGTTTCAAAAAACAATATTAGTCTTATAAATATGTTAAAAAATTAAAATAACATTACATTTTAAATATTTAATTTTTAAACTAGATAGAATTTTATGAAAACATTATATGTTCCGGCATGGCTGTCTGGGTGTGAACCAGTCAGTCTATTACTAAATAGTATGGTCGGTAATGTACGAATGATACATTTGTATAAGGCACATAGCAGAGCAAAATATATTTATAGGTTTTTCCTATTGGTATAACTGTGCCATGTGGTTTTCTATATTAGTAATACAGATTTAGTTGGTAAAATTAATTGTTGACAAATATAAGCATTTGTTATATCTTTAGGCTGTATAGTTTCGTCGAATATGAGAGTAATTTTGAAGACAATTGGAGCCGAGAATTGTTGAAAAACAATATTTCGGTAATATTAATATATTATAATAACATCAATGCATAACCCTGGTTATATATGGGTCAGCGTGTGGCATTTACCGGTAAGGGATTTTTGTAGACCTTAGTGACTACCTATCGATAGCAAATTCAGCCAAAACGAGTAAACTTTGGACGATAGAATAATATCATATTCGTGTAGTATTCATAGCGGTGAAACCCTTTGCGTGTTTCACAAACCAGAACAATCGTTTACGTACACAAGTCTCCGTGTTTTCTGAATATTCTGATAGATCTATACATTTATTTATAGATTAAATATGCGAAACATCAATATTATAGATCATAAACAAAACCCAAAAGTTAATGACATACTGAATTAAATAATAAATAAGTAAAATATTTCATTCCAAAATAAAGAACAGGAAATTAGTTAGGAGAATATTTAGTGCGAAATGTATAAGCATTTTGAAACTATGTAGGTATTACATTATACAACGAAAAACAAATTGCTTTGAATGTTGCTCTGTCTTGAATTCTTATGAATAGTTTTTATTTCATTATTTCATCCATTAGTTTAGAAAACCACAATTTCTGTGTTTTCAAAAACCTTGAAGGTAGATAATACCGCAAAATTTTAAATGGTTTATATTTTCTGTAATAGTTATTCATGTGTTTTCTTAATTTTTCCAATAAAACAAACATACCTATCTAATTTTGTATAATATATAGGTTAAATGTGTTTTTTGAAGGTTCTCCTCAAATGAAGTTTATTGGATTAAAATTGACGTCACGATCATTAATTTCAGATTTAAGGATATGAAAAATTCTATTTGGTTTGAACAAAAATAAAATATTTAACACAGAACTGAATAATTTACAGTTAAGAAAAAAACGAGTTTATAAAATTACACACACAATGAAAGAATATAATTTTCCCCTTGAATAGATAATTTTTCACTACATAGCACACGACTCGATGTAAATCATCATTCCCGTCCCGAAATAACCTCTACACTAGAAAACGATATTATTGATCGATTATGTTTACAATACAACGAGGAAAATATTTTCAAGCTCTTAGTTTTTATTAGTAAAAATAAAAAATAAAAAATAATAATTGTTGGCACTACAATTTACAAAACATAATATTTTGTTACAGGAATTACAACAATTCTTTTAATTCAATTAAACAGTTATGTTAGAGATATAAAATCCTTTTTGTAATAGTAACAATCAAGCTATTATAATTATACAGTATCGTGTACTAATTCACTGTAGTTGCGTTTCAATTTTTGTGATTGGAGAAACAAAAAATATGGTTAGATTATCTGAGTTATAGTAGGTAAAAGTACACACTACAAGAAACCATTTAACATAAATCAAATAATACTCTTGACAAAACGTTGGTTGAATGTATCACATAATTTAGTTACTATTAAGGTTTTAAAGTAGTATAAGCTAATTAAGATTTCACAAACTTATTCTGCTGTGAACCTATAACAATTTTTTTCAGTGTAGTGAACAATGATTCATATTCCAGAAGTCATTCGTTTTGCTTATTCTTTAATATAATCTATGTCCTTGTCCTATGGTCCATATAATATGTGTGTTTTTATGTTATAATAAAGAACGAGTTTCTCGTTTCAGGGAAATGATTTAAGCGTAAAATGGTGGATAATGGCAACTACACGGATCCGAACTACGGTGACACACCGTATCCGGACGACGGAACTCCGTGGTTGGATACACCTACGTCCAACCAAGTGTTGGGCGTCGAAGAGACCGATGAGACGTCCACCATACCCTCAGAAATGATACCTACAGGAACCGGAGGTGAGTACCTAATGTACACGTGCCTGCTGAAAGTCGAGTGAAACGATAATAATTTTTTTTTTATAATACACTTAAACTGCAGTTTTAATAGTAAAAGGCAATTGGCAGTAGTTTTCCTGCTACAGCTACGGAATCTCTTTCCTTAGATTTTTAACTACGACACCGGTTGATATCTAAAATAATACTTTATACTCCACTGCCGTGCACGAATCAACCAACGAAGGGGTGGGAAAACCGCTCTGCTGTATACAGTGGGGCGTGTCAAGTGGGTCACTGTAATGGATATGTTAAACTAGATTTCAATGATCTATCACTGTATACGATAACCGATTTTGAGCGAAAATGGTTTGCCGACCTAGGATATATTTTTATTATATTGATATTGTTGTTAAGTAGTAGAAACAGGAACCCGGGTTGAATTAATTTTTATTGCAAAAAAAAATTGCATATGAATAACTATTATCTTAAAATAATCAATGACTTCTTTGTGACAATATGAAGTACATATTATGATTAACCCTGTATATAATTTTCCTTAAAAAAGTATGTCTAAGCACACAGAAAAACACACACATTGATCGTTCTAAAATCAATACGTCTGCTCCACTGAGAATCTAAAATACACATCCGTCTACAAGTCATCAAGGTGAATTATGGTGATCCACAATAATATTATGGTTGTAACTCTTGTATAATAATGTGCACTTTGAAATTCGAAGTGACAAATAACTGTACATTTGTCAATTGATTTGTTTTATGAAATTTTTTTTTTATTAAATCGTATCTTAGCCATGAGCCATTATTGTACGGCTTCTATCGTAGAAACATTTGCATACAGTAATTATATTATAAACAACGTCTCTTTGCCCTCTATTGATGCGTAGCAGTACCGACGGCGATGACGCAGCGTGTATAATGAGATGGGAAAACATTCAGCATATTATTATTATTATAATCTGATGAGAGGACAAGACTACTTTGTTTAATTGAACTATCGATTTTTATCTGTACACCGAGATATTTCATTATTGTTTTCAGTTTCGTCAGCAAAAAGCAGGATTATCATTTATATAAGAGCAACGCTGATTAGGTCTGTATAAGAAACATATATTTGGAAGAAACTTTAAAAATGCGTTTCTCTGTGATTGACGTCGTTACGCCACAATGATTAAATCAAAATCTCGAGGAAATCTTATGACGCACGAAAAATTATACAATAAACTAATTTTGAATTTTTACTTTTTACTTTTTTAAGGACCATCAATTACAATATTATTATTTATTACCATTTTGTACATTCGATACAATGTTTTTTTTTTTTTTAAGATAAAAGAACTTAAATCTGAATAGAATCCATAAAATATAAAAACAACTTGATAGTTATTTAAATAAAAACAAAATATTGATGAATCTTTAGTGTACAAATGTTGATTATATTACAAAGTGTACATTTTTTAAAATTAATTTATTCGTATAATATGACAAAATTTAAATTCCATTCATTGTTTTGTAATATTATTTAAAATATTGAAGGAAAAATGTAAAATATTATTTGCATTTAGCTCTCAATAGACAATAGACAATAATGCAATTAATTTAATATATCTATTTTACCAGTTTATAACCATACAATCGTTGGAATTTGGGCCTTATTTAAGTGATTTATAACTAGGTTTCCGCTTGACCAGAGATACCGAAAACAAATTTCTTCTAAATGAATGTTGATAATTATTTATATTAATTAATTACTTTTTTTTTATTCTAATGATTCGAATCAATTTAAAACAAACAAATGTATTGTCTTGTATCACATTAAAATTTATTTAAATTAAATTATTATTGTATAAAAAAAAATCATGATAGATCGTTGTTAGGAAATAAAACCGTATTGTAAAACTAAAATGTATTAATAAAGTCCAATCACTTGAATAATAGGTACATAAATCCATTCCTAACTTTGACATACTGCTTCGACACTCATGTAATGATATTTTTTAAACTCTTATAAGTTATTTGTGTGTGTCTAGTTAGACATTTTTTTAAACTAATTTAACCATTAACTAGGCAATTTTTCATTTTTATTCTTCATTTTAGATTCTGAGTGGAGCGATAAATGTTTTGATTTTATAATGATGTGTGTTTTGTATTTGTTTATTTATTATTTTTTTTTTTGTGTCTATCATCACGGTTTCACAAATTTTCGAAAACATTGATTTAACTCTAACAAAAATGACAGTAGATACACGAAATTTTCACTGAATATCCGTGTTCGCATTTTCTATACACTATACAATTTTCAAAATATTTTGATTTGTGTTGAACTATTATTAGGCATATGAAATTGTCGATTATTATTTTTTTTTTTTAACTTAAGTCGATAAAAAATGTGTAAATGTAATACAAGGTTCCTGGTAAGTTGTTGTTAGTGGAAATGAACACAATAATTTTTTACGAGCATTTAAACTTAGAATTTTTTCGAAATTCGTAAAAATCATGAAAGTTAGCAAATTATATTTAGTTGGAAATTCATAAAATATTTTCTATTTATATCTAAGATTTAAAATTTGAATACAAGATTCCTTACAAGTTTGTCTCCTTTATTAAAAAAAATGTCTACCGAAAAGTTAAATTAAATTTTTATGAGCGTTCAAACTTTAAAGTATTAAGAATACATAGTCACGATATATTTTTATAAGGATTTAAAGTTCAAATGTTGTCATGTTTCATATAAACACAATGAAGAAAGTTCATAATTTTGTTGTAATTCGGTTCCAACACTACCACATTTTACATAGTTATATTTAATATTTTTCTCACATCACTGATAATTTAAGAATAATATTAATTCAACTTACCGTCTACCGTATTAATAACAATATAAAATATACTAAACTGTCATACAGCCTATGCTCAGAATCGTTTTTTTGTATACAATGATTTGATATAATTCAATTCAAATTTAATACCATCCATTACAGTGACCTCTTAGACACCTTATGTACAGCAGAGCGACATCCACTTACTCGCTTTTTTTTTAAATTTTAATACTTAAATTAACAAAGTTTATGCATTGAAAGTCTGATGTTGCATTTCCAATTCTAAAGATATTTGATTTAATACAATTATTCGACTAAAGTAACAATATCTAAGAGAGAATATTATTTTGTAATTAAAACTTTCTTGTAGATAACATCAATGAATTGTGTTATTGGATTTTATCCAATTTACCGTACTAGTGCATTATTCTTTGCAATAATCCAAGTTATTAATGTAGATTATTTTCTATGTGTACAGTTATTTTTACTGATTCTTCTCAAGGTGATAGAATATATTATGATTTAAAATAATCTATATACAATTTTAATGTAGACTAACCATCCGAGATGCTTTATAACTTATAAGCAGTTTCCATCAACATTACAAATTGTGAAGCTTTTTATTAACACAAGTAATTAATCTCAATCATAAAAAAACGTATTACACCTATATTAAATATTTAATTATGTTTGAATTTAAGATTTTTAAATTAAGAAGATGGTAAACAATCATTTGTTCTTAAATGTGATAAATTAGTTTTTACATTTTTCATGGTATTATATTTACATTTTTAGAGATATTTTCCTAACACCAAATTGTCTATGTTTTAATTTGACAGTAATAATATTTTGTTGAAATGTATAAACGTTCATGTTTAAAATATAATATACAATATACATATACGTAGGTAATTACTAGGTACCTGTTATACATCTGTGTTAAGTATTAACACATTTCAACTGCATAAATTCAACAGAATAATATTATATTATAATAAGGTAAATACGAATCAAATACTGAACGTACGGTTAGTTTATAATGATATGTCGAGTAATACTAGCAGCAGATACAAACATCGTTTAATACTCCTTAAATATTAAACTTCGATAGTTCGATGAATGTATATTCTCGTAATATTACAAAGGAATATTCGTTCACTATTTTATATACGTACCTATGTACGATATGTATACATATCTATCTCGAGTTCTTTTGTTTCGAGTTTATTTCTTTATATTATGTAATTCTCGTTTCCACCCAATCGTATGCAAATAATGTGTAATGCAGGTACTAGCTACATTCAAATCCGCCATTGATTGGTGTGTTGCTCATAAACTGCGTTTTGTTGCCATTGTACTTGGTGGTAGCCTCAAGGAATTACCTAGTCATAGTTAGGTAGGTAATCATAACGATTAAACTCAAAGTTTCTCGATTTATCTCTAGTTGTACTCTAGAAAGTTTTCAGTGTTGTATATAGCACATAGTAGTTAATTCATCGTGAAATAGATAATTCTAATAATTATGTAATATTCAAAAATGAAATCTTGTTTTAAATGTTGATGACCCTTCCACTTAGTCCGTATAAAGGTTTTATACATTTCTTCACAGATAGTGACAATCACGTAATATTCCAGGTACTAAATTATTTTTCATTTGTTCGTATAACACTTAATTATCTTCTATACATTTGCAGTGTTTATTATTTTGTACTTATAAATATTTGTTTCCCCATAATACGATTATGATGAATAACTTATGTATTTTATATAAAATAATAAATTAATAACATATTATTAAATTTAAAAGTAAACAAATATAGTAATATTAACAATTATAGCAACTTTATAACATGTTATTTTTTTGTTTTTAATAATTGAGTCAATATACCATTAATAATTTTACAATGCTACAAAATCGATATTGAAACAATTACATAAAAAAAATCATCATTTAGTACGAGATGGAATTGAAGAAGTAGTGATGTAATCATATTTTTTTTATTTCAAAATATCTTTTGAAATTTTTTTTGCATAGACTTAACAAGTACTTATGTACTTACTAGATATTTATAATAAAATAACAAAAAATAACAGGAAATTACTCGACAGAAAATATCTGGAGACTCACTCTAAGAGACGTTTATATCATGAATCTTATATTATAGTGAGTATGTCTCTAAAGATAACTGTTGACACACCACAGCTGAAACTTCAATATTCTCTACGATACTAACATTTAATTAAATAAATATAGAAGACCGCAATGTAAGAATTTCTGTAGTAAATTTAAGTTTCATTTTAAAACCAAGCAATGCATATTATTATACAATTTAAATTATTACCATTAGGTATGTACACGTTGTTTAAATAATAACAATTCGAGTTGAATGAGGTGCCAAACGAATTTTGAACACTTACAAATAACTACACAGTTCACTACAACATGCCTAAGGCTACATCATATTAAGGAACCTCTCCATATTACTTTATACAGATAAAATTATTATTTTTTAAATTTCTTTTAAATATGTCATACCTATCGTAAAAGCATTTCGACCATTACGTCAATATTTAAGCCAAGGTTTAAAATTGTGCGCACTCTTTAAGAACGATAGAGGGTTTGTATGAATTTCTAGAAAATGTTTCACTTATGTAAAATACATCATAACATAAAGACCATAGATTCCGCGACAACGCTCATCATCTAAAATAGATAAATCCAGTAAACTACACTATAATAATATATTATAAGGTATTTATCATTTTGTTCATCGCATCATACTGGCTGATGAAAAACTTCTAAACTACCTTTTTAAAGAACAGCATCGCATTTTATTGTAATATATGTAATTAATGTTCATGTAATCAAAGTTCTGACGAATAATCTATCCTCACCTATAAAGTATGAGTTAAAGTTCAAATATATACAATACACATTACACATACAACAACTAGTTGAAGAATTTGTATTTGAGTTATTGTTTACAATTTTTAATCATTAAAATAATTTTGAAAACATAGTATATGTTAATTAATAATACCAATTATTATTGAATACTTATTTTAATAAAATGTAAGTAAAATTATAAATGAAATATGATGCTTAAAGTTTTTGTTCTGGTAATAAACTTCTAAAAAAGAGCCTTCTTGGAGATTTTAGAGAATTTTATTTTACAATTAAATAAAAGGAATATTATTAAGTGTTTTATTAATTGTATTACTATAAAAAAAAATGAATCGTTAACATAATTGTTTGAAATATTTAATAAGTGTTTTAACTTTTAATTGTACACGAGAAACTCAATAAAAAGTTATAATTAGTTAATAATTAATCACGATAGTTCACAAACATGTACATCATATACTGAATTATTTATTTCTGATGTATGTATTCTGTAAATTGGAAAAGTAGGAATCATACACCAAGCAAAAAAATACAATATTTACTTGAATTCTCTAGTTGAATAATGTGGATGGCTTGTTATGGGGGACAATTACCAATAACAGCAAACCATCTCAATATTGTCACTTATTACTGATTGATAGATGTAACTATTATTATATGTATTCATGATAGGTCTAACTTCCCACTAAGCTTATTTTATCCATTTCTATTATTCCAATAAAAATTAAAATTCAAATGATAAATTTAAACTATGAAATTTGAATAAGCCGACGGAGCGACACACTTTTTTAAAATTCTAGTTTTATATAGTGTATTATATATTTATATTGATATTGATGACAATCGAAAAACAATCGTGTTCTAGGTCCCATTGTAATACGGACAGAAGAAGCGTTCATTGTCATATGTGTGATGATACTATGGGTGGCGGCCATTGCATTGTTCTTCAACCGATGGGGCAAAATTCGAATGCTTGAACCGTACCAGCCGAAATTCCACGAAGAAGAACACCGTCCAAGCTGTCCAATGGTCGAGTTGGCTAGTGCATCGGGAATCGGCCATAGTATAACCGGAGGGGTAAGTTTAAGTTTTATTATCTGCAACGATATTTTTATTTAAGCCCCTCAAACACCAAAACATGAATAACAGTTGCGAATAACTATCATTCGCAGGTTAAATTTCTTAGGCAAATATTTGTATTATTATTATTATTATTATTATTATGGTAAGTTAAAATTGTTACTTTACTACTTTTATATTTTGAAAGAATAAAGGAGGTAGTTTCCATAAAATCACGTTTACAATATTTTTTTATCAGCCAGATTGTTAGGTTGAATACTAATATGCAAACCTCAAAGCTCTCAACGTCGTTACAAAAACGTGTTTTTCGTTAATTTGTATTTATTATTGAGTAACATATAACGTCAGTATATTATTAGAAATGAAGGCTTCGAAGATGTGTTATTGTCCATATTTACGCATTTAAATTTTAATTGTGACTTATAAAGCCAAATTAAATCAAAGGTAATTTACAGTATGTATAATAACTCAACAATGGCCAAATTCGATGATTTACATTAAAGTTACATGGAAAGATTATGAGTGACATGATTAAGAAGTAAACACGTATTGTGTACCTCATGGACTTATTAAGTTATGAAGTTATTACGAATCCCAGTGACATTGCGATGTATGATATGAAGATATATGAGAAGTTTCTAATAAATATTAAATTCCATTAACGTAGCACCTATTAGATTTATTATACAGGTATGTATATGTTGATATTTGATGTACATAATGTATATTATTGTATGTATCTTATAGTCAATAAAATATACCTATGTCTATGTATTTCAAAACTGTTTAAAATAATTGGATTGAGTTTTAGTTTAAAATTGATTTATTCAAAATAACCCCATAATATATTTATTAATAATAATTTGAAATACCTAGAAATATCAAGTATTTATATATTTTATGTTTAAAAGGGGTCAATACTATATTTTAAATTTTTTATGAGAGGACATCCCATATTTTCTTTAGGTGAAACCGTTTGTACGTTTCTTTAGATAAAATATTTTTATTAACAAGTAAAATATATTATGTTTATTGTACCTAATATCACCTAAATATTGTAAACTTGGTTTTTAAATAAATTATTAAATACCTACCTACGCTTACTTAACTAAGTAAATAAGATTATTTTTTCTTATAACTATTTTATGAAATATTTCTTGTAGACCCTGTGTTTTAGAATCATTTGAAGAATTAAAATATCAATCATGTTTGTTATAATATAATTTGTTCTCAAAAATATTTAAATATCAACCAAGGAGTGATTTATCATGACTAGGTCTAGGTTGTTTATGACTTTTACGTATATATGTTTTCTATAATCATTGCAGACCAAATTACAAATCTGTTAATTATAACACGTAATGGCTGTACGGGTAAAAAAATAATTTAATCATATATTACGGCAAAATAAGTTGTTGCAAAAACTCAAAACTAATTAACTTGTATTTTATATTGATGTACAACTAGCAGTGTTACTATTCTAGTTGAGGTTGAACAATGTTTCATATTATACTCCATTATTATGATACAGTATTGTCTACCATTCAACCCAATTACTTCATATAACAACTTGGATTTTTATTTTTTCATCAATACTATTATAGAACAGAAATGTTATTTTATGTTCATTACAAAATGTACTTTAACCATGTTTTTTAAACAAATTGTAACAATTATAACTAAGCTCTGGGACCTAACCTAACCTACTCAACCAGCAAACTATTTAGGGTAAAATTAAATTGACTTCGTCGTGTTTAAGTGTCAGACTTGACAGTTTTATAATGATATTCTGAAAATAGTGTGTACCCTCGACTTATTGGTTTGTCAAAAGTGTAGAAACTTAAAAATTTTCAGATTTATTTCTAAAAATGTAATACTATCGATAAATAAGTAAAGCATAAAACAAAACTAAAAAAAACCAACATCATATGAATGTGTTTGTTTTATAATGATGAGTGGAAATTTTCTTTGTGCCTGACGTCACCTTTAGAAGTGCTAAAATTTTTTCAATCTCCGACTTCAAGTGATATTTCTGGTAGAAAAATTTATATAGTCCATACTCTGAAAAGGTGAAAAGAGAAACATTTCTAGCACTATCAAAAAATAATAGGGAAAAGCTAAAAAATATGACAAAAAAAAGGGAATATATTTACACAACTGCAGTTGTTAACAAAATAAATTTTGTTTTTTTGCAATTCAATAATGTGTGCTTTGTAGACTATTTGAATCATTACTAGATATTAATATGAGCATTGTATGGTCATGATATAATTGCCATTTATTGTCACTTTCTGTGCTATTTATAAACATAAAGCAAAATTTTAAATGTTTATATTTGTTACCCATGTATAATAATAATAACTAATTTATGCTGATATGATAAATTATAAAATGTTAACTACCTTTTAAAAAATAGTACATATTACTTATATATTAATATAATGGTTGTTAAATTGTTTCAATCAATTAGGAAAAATAAAATGTTTTTATATTAATTATTAGTAGAAAATTGACAGTGCATTTTTTTTACTTTTAACTATCTAATCAAATTACCAAATAGATCTAATCTTGTATCATAAAAATGAAAAATGTCTTCGGACACAAAACTATAAAAAAAAAGTTCAAACCATTTCGCTAAATATCTAAAATATAAATACACAATATACAATATATTGTCTGTGAAAATGATTAAAAAGTCAATAGAATGAGTTTCAAATCGATTTTTTTGGTTGTATTATAGTAACAATGTTGCTTAAGAAAACCTGGTGATTGGTGAGTTCCAAATAACTATATAAGCTAGTAAAAAAAAGCATCAACCGACGTAATGGATGGATAAGGTTAATGGCAATAAGAGGAGTGTCATTTGATGGATGCGATCTTTTAAATGACAGGTCTTCAGTACCAACTAATCCAACGTAAATTATTACTTTATATTTTGAAGAAAGCGAATATTATGTACAGGATATAGTCTAAAATGCAATCTTTCGGCCACAAAATACAGATTTAAAGTTTTTAAAGTTGCTTTTTGAGCAAATATATAGGTGTAGTCTTTTTTTTTTGTTTTCAAAATAATAAAGTTTTAATTGTTGTAAGTATTATGTGTATACATTTATATATTTTGCAGAAGTATAATATTATAATATTTTATTGAATTTATTAAAGGTTTCACCTCAAGTGTACAAATAATAAGCTATTGTAACGATGAAGGGTTGGTTTGATTAAAAAAATAATTTAAATAACAATGCAATTGGTAAGATATTTTTTTGCCACGCCTGTAGTAGGTAAAAACACTTTAATTTTCAATGCCAGTTGACGCGTTGGACAATGACCTTTTTCTGTTCAGCTGACAGTAAAAGTCTTTCTCTGTCTGCTACAGCAGTTGGACAAGCTACTGTCTAAATCAGATTAATATACATGAACGTAACCCATTTGTCAAGTTTAATACATCAAATTCAAGCTGTTAGGGGTGGGTTATTTCTGTAATATTCTATGAAACAGTTTGGCGAATCTATATTGTAGATACCGAGAATGGCAAGCACAGTTTCATTATTACCGTAAATTCAATAATAGCGGCAAAAAAAATATTTATGATGACGTTTTTCAAAAGTTGAGGATATTTCAGTCTTGGGCTAAAAGAACATCACCCGATATTGAAATACTTCACTTTCAAGTATTTTAACTTGTCACCGAATATATTGTACTATTTGTTGAATAATTCGTTAAACTTTTAGTATGTTTATTAATCGGTATGCGTTTTTATATTGAACTTCTGAAGTCACAAATAATTTGTACGATAGGAACTGAGTTATAATCGAAAATGTCTCAAATGTTGTATCTATGTATAGTTCATGTATATTCAAAATAATACCGTATATTTTTTTCACTTTCGACTGAAAATGAGTTTTACGGACCCAGCTGTCATATAACATTTAATTAATTTTTTCAGCCATTTTTTTATTGAATTGGTTTTGTATGAAATGACATGTGCAATATATAATTGAAAACTACAAGGAGAAAAGTATGTTCTATTTGAATGGAAAATGAAAATTATGTGCCAAGAGAACCGTATCACGAGTACATCAAGAACATTAAATTCACATATTGTATAGGTGTATATTATACGGGTAAAAAAAAAAATGCTTGTGTTTTTTAATATAATATATAAACAGATTTTCTCGATGTGCTCGAATGCCAATAAAATGAGATTGCGAAAAAAGAATTATATCATGAAAACAAGAGCGAAACGATGAATATTATGTACACGCATTCTCCATAGTCTGATCGTATTCAGAAAATACGGTTAGCGAGCAATATGATATAGCGTTTAGGTAATATGGCGTTATATTGGATTTCGGATTTGACGAGTACTATTATGGTGGTGGCGACGGCTGCCGTATAGGTTTCAGAGTGCTTATTTGTGTAATTTGCACGGTTCATTTGAGAGACACCTGTGTTTCGCCATTTTGGAAATAGGATATAGTTTAGGTTACACATACAAATGATACGAAAATCAGAGCTTTGTATATCATTTACTCTGAATAGCTGTAGTATGTGGGAGGAACCCTACTCAAGGGAACACGAACGGATCGATAATTCTAAATAAATAATATTGTATACTGTTCATGAAAGGTTACTATTAGTGCACATAAGGATCGTTGGATCTGTCGTGCGTACTCGTATATCTATGACGCCCTGGTAAATTTGAACCGAGTCCAAAATACATGAAATCGCAATCGCAATATGCACCTATTTGCCCTATAGGTAATATATCGTACAATTTATAATACTGCTATTATACTCATTTACGACTGACAAGACCGAATGGAACAAAAACATCTACTGCGTTAAATATGATTAATTAGTATAGGTAGGTACTTCTGCAGGGAATGTATAAAGATAAGTTTAGGTTCTACCTTTTGCTACATAATAGTGTGCATTATACAGAGCATGGAGGAATCGATAATTCTAAATAAATAATTACTATACAAGGTGTAACA